GTGTGGTGGACACGGATACTTAGCCAGTCAGTCCCAGACATGGACGCCTACACCACACACAGACACATTGTCACTCAGACACTAAGCCGCTGGAACTGGGTCTGTTTCAGTGAACCGGCTTGGCGATCTGCGTGATGACAATGATCCAAACTGCACGTATGAGGGAGACAACAATGTGTTGCTGCAGCAAACCAGCAACTACCTGCTCAGCTGGCTCCACGCCAAACGCCACGGTCAGTTCTGTGTGCACCACACATCACACCAAGATGTTTAGAAAAAGCATAGATTATCTGCTTTTATGTTTAGTGGTTATGATATGTATGCTTATCATCATTCAATTCATTCAATTGTTTAATGCGGCTTTACAGAAAATTAAAGCTGAGTGGTTAAATGCAATATATTTGTGAATTGTGCAAGTACAGGCAGTCCGTTCACCGTTTGCCAGTCAGTATTTCCAGCATGGTGAGATTGTTAAAAAGATGGACTACATAACTGGTCAGTGCTGTGTGTCTTTTTCAGCTTGACTTTAGTGGTTTGACTTCACTGTAAAGAATTCTCATACCTTACATGCAATGAAACTTGCAAAGAGCTGTTTAACCAGAATAGTTGTGAAGGAATGCAATGAAGTCTACATTTCTATGCTGTACATCAGATTTTATCAGAACATAAATGAGTGTTGAAATCACCCACGTTTGAGGGCATGCACTATACGTGTGACTACATTCAGTTCACCAGGTTACACCTTCAGAGTGCACAATGAAAGAGCCAAGAAGCAAACAGACTGGACTCCAGTCTAAGAAACAGGTGGCTATGACAGGGCTTGATTTAACTCCAACTCAGTTAGTCACAGTTATCGTGGACAATGTGGTGGTATGGGTCATCCCAAGGAGCATCCCATGTAGGCCTGTGAGCGACATCAGCTCAGAGGTCCACCAGCCTGGTCCACCAGCCCCCCAGAGACTTTTTTCCTCAGACTTAATTTGATTTCCTTTTCATTCCATAAGGGTCTTATCATCAAAACTATTCAAAATCAGATTTATTCGCAAATATTCCAGGCTGCCACAGTGCCTTCTAGCCGTCTGGCATTTAAACCTCATGATCTGTTAAACAGATTTAGACGATCTGGTCCCTTAAACTCTAAAGGTTTTCTCCCCTTTTCGTCTTTTGTGCTACATTATCTACAAAATGACAGCACGACCAGTACTTTTACATGGTGAAACCGTTTCACCATTTTTCATCCCCAGTGGAAAGTCACCATCAATTCATCCATTTTGTCTGAAACGTTATTGTGGGTGAAACCTAATCTTTATAGACAAAAAAAAATAATTTCCTCATTTAATCCGTGATTTAACTTATGTATCAAGCATAGACTGACTGGAGTCACTCCGAATTAAAGGTAGAAAATATTCCCTGGAGAAATAAAAGGGAATGCTTTATTTAAATGATCTTCATGCCAAATGGCTAATGTAAAAAGACAAAACAAAAAAAAGGAGAAACTGGTACTTGATCATAATTTGAACACACTGTTCTGGTTCTTTAGCATCTGAAAAGTACACATCAGTAGTTCCAGCTTCAGCCTGTTCCAGCATCCCTGTAAACAGCATGGTGGACATATTCTGCCGTAGTTATTTGTTAACTGTAATCAGAAAATATGAACATATTCTGGAAACATTTTCATCTATTAATCATGATCCTTGGCATGATGTTCTGATCATTTACTGAACGTTGTTCTCCAAAGTGCTCTTGACTATTAGTTTTCCTGTATTGGCTGCAATGGCATGTTTAGGTTTTAAGTTCTTTTCAGCAAGCGTTTCGTTTCCGATTTCAGTTGTTCAGTAAATGCAGCTTAGTTTAAGTGTTCAGCAGATTATGTTCACACTACATCTCCAGCAGGAAATGGCCCTTCCTTTTAATGTGTAGATCATTTGGTATCTAACACACACTGCATGCAGAGTTGGCACACTCTGGGTTCACAGCCTGAACTAGGCTTCAGTGTGTGTTCTGTCATTTCAGAGGGCGTCCGGATTGAATCTCCTCTGCACACCGTGGATTTTCTGGATGATTTCTCGAGTTTGCTGGAAACCAGGTTTACGGCAACAACTCTGGAAGAGTGCATGTGCTCCGAAGGTATTTAAGTGTTTCAGCGTTATAAGAAAACAGAATAGATCCATGATGGAGGCTCCGTCTGAGCTTTATTGTAAGCAGAGTTTTGTGTTGACTGGCTAAAAGAACACAACCAGCTAAAGTTTTTCCTGACAGTGGCGAGTTAAAAGAGGAATTTGTCTTAATCAGCAAAAGCTCGGTATAAGTATAAAAAGAGCTAAAATGTGTGGATATGAAGCTTAAACCTGCATTTCATATTTAATATATGCACAATGTCACACATTCACAAAAAAGCTTTTTTCCCATTTTGTTTCCGCACCATTTTTAACAGCATTTGCAGATCAGTCGTTTTGAATTGAAAAAGTTGGTTGGTAGAATCCTCTTATCCTACATGTTCGAACTCTGTTTTTCACTTTTCTCGTGAGCCAAAAGCAACCATTGTATTAAATGCAGTGTTTTTTAATCCTCACTATGCCTTTCTTGTCCCTGTTTATCATCTCAGTGCCTCTGTCAGCCTATAAGTGGCTGGTGTGCTACCTGCTGCAAGAGAGTAATAAAAGGCTGGAACAAGAGAGGGCCTTGGGCAGGAATGATTTTGAGGCCCGGAACAACAGTCAGGTAAGTTGCATACTCTCAGACACTTGATTCTCCGAGTGTTCTTTGGTCAAATCAAATGCTAACCTTGACAAGACATAGGCAGCTGCCCCTGAGCTGATTCCCCATTTGCACGTGTCAGCACACGCTGAAGCAGAACTGTGAGCTCACCAGGACATCCGTTCTGAGCTAATAAGAAACTTTGATAGTGTTGCATACTGTGGAACATGAAGTAGTTGACTCAGTTTACACAGAGGAACAGTGGTTTACAACTGCCAGGCTGGAACCACCCCCCAGCCAGCCTGCAGTGAGCAGAAACACAGGAGAAAGCCCAACCCAAAGCCACAACACAAGGCCATCAGATCATAACCAGAGCATGGAAGTCACTTCTGGATCCTGCAGCTGCTGTTAAAATGTAAATGGTTAAACATCGGTCCGTTTGGAACCTTTATACATGTAGAAAAAACATTCCAGCAGAAGTAGCTTCAGTTTCCCGGGCATAGGGAGTTCAACCCGGTAGAACAGTAATATGACACAACCAGGTCCACCATGAAAGGTTGAAAGAATGTGTTGGGCAGTGGAAACTAAAGCAGAATATCAGGCTTTCCTTTTGCGTGTAGGTGTATTACTGCAGGTCCCTGGCGATCACATATATTGAACACACTTGCCTCCTGAGATTTCACGAGCTGACCACCAATGAAGACACGCCGGCCGCTCTGAAACCAGTTCTGCAGAAGCTGTGTGCCTTGTATGGACTGTGGAGCCTCAGTAACCACATGGCAACCCTGTACCAGGGTAGGTCTTTGTGCCCAAACCTGGTCAGACACTAAATAAACCCATACGGCTGGTACTGAGTAACAGATGAACCCCATGCAGGTGCTTACTTCAGGGGGAGTACGCCCACAGAGCTGGTCCAGAGGGCCATCGTCACGCTTTGCTCCCAGGTAGAGAAATCTTTTTGTTTTTCACATCAAACCTTTTAGCAGGTAACCTGCCAAGCTGTTGTAAACATGTTGCTGTCCTGAGGACTGGACGTTAATTAGGTCCAGGCCTAATTAACAGAATTATGGCAGAAGTTTTGCCATCTGTCTTTTTCAACATTTCCTCTCCAGGGTTGTGCAGCAGTAACATAATTTCTTCCACATTGTTTGCACTAAAAACACACAAGAAAACAACAATCTGTTTGTTTAAATTCAAATTTGAGCTGCTGTTTGATATCTTAGTTTTTTTTTTTTTTATCAAATCAGAATTAATACCCTTTTATTAGTTGAAAATACTAAATTCAGATTATTCTGTTAATTTGACTTCAAATTGTCCAAATTGAAAACTGCTCCGAAATTCAGGTAAAAACAACCCAAATAATTTTGCCAAATGACCACATGATTTGAATACAATCTACGTCTGACATTCTCTCGTCCTTATTGTTGAGCTATAGCCCATATTTTATTAGCATGACAGGGAAAAATAGCCACTATGCACAGATTCCCAGCAGAGTACCATTTTTAAGACTGGACATGGTATTTAGGAAGTATCTAGGAAACCTTGACTGTTACATACACTTTTACTACTTTTAATGGTGCGCTGAGAGAAGCTGCAAACGTTGTATATTTTTCTGAAACCTCTCTGAA